CGGGTTTGGTCGGTGCGCCGCTCCCGTCAGCTGTGCCCGTCCCGTGGTGCCTCGCCGCGGACGTAGCGCTCTGCTGCCCTGCGTCAACCGCGCAAGCAAAGCAAGGGCAGTGACATTATGGCACCTTCCTCTCCCGGGCAGCGATGGCAGCCCCGCTGCCTGCTCGGGGCGGGGAGGGGACAGCTGCTGCAGGCCAGCACCGCAGCCCTCACCACGCCGAGCAAACCCCTCGAGCCTGCTGCTGCCTCAGAGCCTGCACCTGCGCACGGCCTGGGGCACGGGGAACACTGCCCGTGTGCCCGCCGAAGCCTTCCATGGATCCGCTCCATCTCGCCTAGGCTGGCGACGGCCGACGGCCTCGCTCATCAATGGCAATGTTCGGCTGGAAAGTGAAAGCACTCGGCGGTGCGGCAAGAAGGATGTTTCAGCCAGACCGCCTAAAAGTCTGGTTTACAAATCTGTGTACAAATTAATGACTAATAAGCAAACGCATCTTTGTGTCCGCGCTAAACATGAAACGCTTTGAAGCTCTTTAATTAATATGCAGTAATGTGCAGTGAACAGGCCTCGATGGTTCCGAGGCACAGCTTCTCCTTACTACATCAAGGAAGGCATATGCTACAATCCTACCTTTAAGATTAAAAAAAAACAATTAAAAAATTTCCTCCCTTAGCCCCCAGCTCACACGGGGCACTGAGCCTCCTGCGGCCCCAAGCACTTGCTTTTTCCCGAGCCTCGGGGTTTGCTGACTGTGCTGGCAGCTCACCTGGCTGCGAGAACATTCATAGGGCAGCCATGGTTTACCTGCCAAACCCAGGAATTACCACTGGTAAATAGAAGCAGGTTGACAGAGCAACCTAGCGGTAAGCAGGACGCATCACTGCACAGCCTAGCTAAAGACATGTAGCTGCAGGAATGGAGTTATTTATGACAAAAACATGCCTGGCTGTGTAATCCGTTCTTAGCTTTCTCTTTAAGGACTGCTGCTGCACCAGAAACTCCCACGTAAGCAGAGGGACTACAACACCGTCGGCCAGAAAGAAGGAGGACTTCAGGACCGAGAGGCTGAGGCTTAGGAAACTGGAGAGATAACTGAGAGACAGGCAGGGCACAGGGACCGTGGAGCTTGGTGGGAGACAATCTGTCAGCTGGAGAATTAATGCTCAGGGAAGGGTGGAGACCTCAAAGTCCCTGCTCTCACTGAACTCTGACCTGTCTAGGTTCCCACTGACCAGCCCAGGCCCTGTCTCCACTACTTTTCTGGTCAGCTTGTGGAGACAAAGCCCGAGTGGGAATGTCCAGCAAACTCAGTTTCTCAAAAACTTTGCCTGTATCCACTCACAAAGTATAAACCAAAGGCCTGCTCTGGCTTCTCTGGGGAAAGCACCGAGCCTGCTGTGGGTCTGCACAGTGTTCGTTCTAGCTGCCAGCTTTTACTCGGTCTCCCAAATGTGTCCTTCGTGTATGTGTGAGCCCTGGCTGCTTTCGTCTGGAAGCCTGTAAAGCACAGTCTTCTCGCTCATCCTCTCTAGATCCACCAAAGAGGTTTAAATTACCTCTGAATGAGCCCTTTCCCTCGTTGAGGAAGTTTAGGCGCCTGGCTAGAGTTGGCAATATCACTAGGAAACTTTCTAGCCTGGTACAGCCCTCGTACTACTACCCATTACTGCTCTTCCATGTGGGTAGTGACGAAGTTGCAGTACGTGGGTGCAAGGTACAAGGGTGATTAAATGAGATCTCAGGGCCTTGGGACAGTTAGTGAGGGAACCTGGGGCACGGGTTATTTT